GTGTCTGTCACAGAGCCACTGTGAAGATTATATTAGCTTATAGATGCGCAGCACTAAGAAGAGAAGCCAGCAGGGAACACATGCCCATAAGTGAAATTCCTGCCATAGAGATCTGACCAAGTGTCAGGGTCCATGCAGGTCTGACCAGGGTCAAGGAGCCCTTTAGAAAGCAACCCTCTGGCTTTGGCCTTAGACAATGAACTTTTACTACAGAAATTGCTGCCCTAACTCTCCACACAGGTTGCCAGTCCCCGGGGTACAGGCAATAGGAACAATACTGAGTTGTGCCTGCCCCAGCAACTGCCTATATCTGGAGTGAAGTGGCCGGCAAGCACACAGGAACCAGCACAGTTGGCAGGAAGCCTACATTCTGCAAACCCCAAGGACAGGAAGTCCACGCACACCAAAGGGTCCCCCACCACACCCTATGAGAAGGAAGGGCCAGCCAGAGGGGATGGGATGGGTTATTTCCTTTTCCAAGTAAGGCTTTGAAGAGTTGCTGCAGGGCAGTTAGAAACAGGGTGGCTAAGGGCACACATGTCTCTTACACCCACCCGATTCCTGACCTTAACGTCACTTAATAAGCCAGGCCTAGAGTCCTATCTGCAAGGAGAATTGCAAATCACTTGGCTGGGGCTCTGCATAGGAGGTGGCTTTGTAATATGAGCAGTGTGTCCACTAACTAGAGCAAGACCATTAGGTCCATTACACCTGTCACTCTGCCAGCCGAGTGGCCAAACTGCCATGATAAAAGTACATTATGCCCAAGGAGTGCCACCCATCCCCCTTCCAGGAGGCGCACACTCATCCACTGCACAGAGAACACCACTGTAAACAGCTTAGAACTTAACTGTGGAATACCTCAGGCTCTTAGCAGATACGAAGGTTTCCCTTTCCTGGGAGGAGAAACATGGGTATGGACCAGAAGACCCAGATGGGGACAGATGTAAAAAATTAAGGGATGTGGGGAAAAGATATTTGGTAAGTAGATTCTACCCATAAAGCCCCAAATAAAAGTGAGAGACACACCCTTTTCACCTCTAAACCAGGTCCCAGTGCTGCAGGCGGCAGGCAAAGGCCTTCTGTGCAGCTGTATACTTCCACCCAGCCCCAAGAAAAGCACATAGCCAGCTGGGCTGCTCAGTGGGTTTGCAGTGCAAGCGTGTTGCAGACAGCAGTAATTTATTTATCCCTGTCATGGAACATTAACAATCTGTCTGGAGCTTGGCAAGCACCAACTTGCACTGTCATATAAACTGTCTGACAAACCTAAAAGTTTCATAAATGCGTCTCTTTTCCCAGCAGACAACAAAACATCGTTCTCTTTAAAAGTTGTCATCTTCTCTGTTTCTTTTTCTCTCTTCCTTTTCCAAAAACTAAGGAAAGGGAAAAAAAACAAGAGAGGAAAACCAGCAATGAAAGAACGCATGCAGTCACACGTGATCTGCCGGTGATCTCAAGCACTTCACTGTTTTCCTATAGCAAGTAAATAAATGAATGGGGCGATGTGGGGGGCGGTGTGGGGGGCGGTGTGGGGGGCGATGTGGGGTAAGCGGCGAGGTTACTGGGGTACTGAAGCAAAATCTGCAAAACAAAAATACAGTCATTAAAAATTAATAAAGGGTGTGGACATCCAGCCCCCACCTCGTTCCGCTCATGGGAATTTGAGCCAGACATTCTGCGTCCTCATTAAGTGAATGCTGGCAGGCTGTCAGGGTTTTAGTGGGTTCTGGGAATGCCAATATATTAACCAGAAGACTTTTTGCATACCCTTTAGAGTTTTTATTCTAGAAAAGTCAACCATTTGGCACAGTAGAGCCTTATTTTTGTCCAGGAAAGCTCTCCGGCTGCCAATCAAGGGAAAAATTACAGCTACATTCTTCATAATTTCCAAGACCTAGCTGGAAAACAAGTTTGGTAGAGAGAGAAGTCCTCAAAAAAACGAAAGCCTAAAAAGATCAACATACCATTTTTAGTGGGAATTCAAAGAAAAGCAATCCATCTTTAAATCAAATGGATACATAACAACACAAACATTATTCTTAAGTCTTCCTGTAACAGAGGAAAACCAATACTAGTTGGAAATTTGAACCCAACATATCTACATCTGTGAACAGTTCAGACTGTTGCTCATTTCCTTTTGTTATCCAATATGAACACAAGCAATGCATACATGAACACATGAGCGTGTATGTACACACACAAGCAATATATACGTGTACACGTGAGCGTGTGCGCACACACAATCCCCCCACAAAGTGGCAGGTCCTGGGGTTATAAAATTCAAATAGTATGCAGATTCCCATTCCTATTTGTGTAGGGTGAGGGGTGTGTGTGTGTGTGTGTGTGTGTGTGTGTGTTTATGTGTTTATGTGTATGTATATACATGTGCAGGCCAGAAATCAACATCCAGTCTTTTTTCAGTCTCTCTCCACTGTATGTTTTGAGTCAGGGTCTCTCATTGAATCTAGAGTTTACCAAGTCAGCAAGTTCCAAGTATCTGCAAAACTCTGTACCTTCAGCACCGGCTTCTATATGGGCAGCAGGGAAGTTGACTCAGGTCCCTGTACTTGCACATCAAACATCTTACTGACTGAGCCATCTCCTCAGGCCCCTATTTTCTTGTTTTAAAACTCACAGTTCTCTTCTCATGTACCCTCATAATATAGGTCAGAATGGACTACCCACCTAACGGCCCATGTTGGCAGTAAGTAACATTGACATCAGAGAAATAATGCCTTCTGGGAGATTTTTCTACAAACTGGAATGACTGAAGAAGCATGGAAAAAGTATGCCAAGGAGAAAGGGGGGGGGACAAGAAAGGAGAGGGAAACAGAGGGACACCGCAGTTTGCCATCATTAACATGTAATGCATGTATCCATGTGAATAGCGTTGAATATCTCTGACATTTTCCAGGTTAAAATGCTATACTCCTTTTACAACTGTTTCTTTCTGAGCGTTCCCTGTCAACTCTTACCCCCAAAGAGACATATATCCTAGAGGCCCCATACACCCAAACCCAGGTTACTATAAAGATCTAATAAGTCTATATACTTGCAGATATTCCTCCCCAGAGTCATATGGGCTTTGGCTTTATCTGATAACAGGACAATCCTGCATACTACTATAAAGTGACTGACTTAATTTGGGATACATGCACTGGGATCCAGCGTTTGGGGTCCTTTCTTGCCAGCCAGCCAGAAACTAGCCACAGGGCACAACAATTCATCCTTCCCTCTCTGCGTCCCTGCCAGGGTAGGAATCAACTCCTCCAGTAACCCAGGAAAAAAAAAAAAAAAACAGAAAGTGACCCATGAGCCACAGGGCTTCTCTGCCAGGCTGTTAAGTCAAGCAAGACTATACAGCACAGCCCCAAACTGTAAACACCTCTGCAGACAGGTCCTTGCTCTAAACATGCCTGGCAGGAGAACTATTCTTGGAACAGTCCAAAGTTGGGGGAAATGTTGGGGGCGTGAGAATAAACATTTGCCTGTGGATGTATATATTCTGATGGAGAGGGGTGGAGCAAGAACTGTAGAACTTGAAATGGCGTGCCAAAAGATTGCCACAAAATCCTGTAAGAAGCAGCTGGCCCTGGCTGGACTCCACTGCAGGATCATGGTCATGAAAACCAAGCACCCAAGAGGATTCAAGAGATAGCCTTAAATGCCTGCTGGCAAGACGCTCTCCAACACAAATGCAAACTTACAGGAACTGGAGTCATAGACAAGAGCGACGAACTCTTCCAGTGGTAAGAGCAGAACACTAAGAAGCTAGAGAGGTCTAAGAAACTAGGGAGGTTTTTTGTTTTAACAAGGGGAACAGTACCTACAATTCAGTAAATCTGTGACATTTACAGTCCTGGCTCTAATTCTTATCCATGCTCTACGTTAATTGAAAAGTTACTCTGCTAAAGAATTAAGCTTTCACTGGGATGGCAGAAAACAAATATTAAAATTCATATGCAGGTAATATTCAGACCCATTATTATCTATGTAATGACTCAAAGTTTGGTATCGTTTCTCAACTGAACACATATTCTGTATTCCAAAAAGGATGTGCAAAGGCAGATTTCCGATGCCAGTAAGCTGAATTTAAACCATAGGGAAAGATTGTTAACTTCTTCCATACAAAATGAGGCTCTGGTTTGGTGTGTGCTCACATCATAGAAGCTTTCATGAAATCCAATACACCGGCCTGAAGGTTCAGAGTAGATACAGACAAGAGCGTAAGGTTTGGGGCCACCCACACCAATAGAAAGAGCTATTAAGGGGGCCTGGCAGTGCTAGCCCAGCATAGCCCCTTACTTTTTGTACCCGGTGCTGGGAATGAAAGCCGGGTCTCTCAGCATGCTAGGAAAGCCAGCCACCACTAAGAGCTATCTCTCCACTCCAACACTCTATCCACTTTGAAGATCCAGCAGGGCTCATCACGTCTACCCTTCACACCCCACAATGCCAAACACAGAGAAGGTCACTAATAAATATCACAGTCAGAATTAACTCTAACTTTCAGTGAGGAGCTCAGGAATGGCAAGATGGCAAAAGTAATTAGAAAAACAAAACAAAGGAAACAAACTCAGAGGAAAAGAAACGCCAATCAAAATAATCCGTCCTAGCTCATTAAGAGTTTTTGTGGAAAAAAAACAAAACATGGTGTTGGCTGATGTGGCCACTGGACACTCAGCAGTCATTCCTGTGCTGGGGCAGGAGCTAGGAAGCCCCACTTGTTTCTCACTGTCCTTACTGGCCAAGGAGATGACTCTCCAGGTAACCCGGAACAGACGTGCCTGGCGTGGGCTCTTGGAATCACGCCCACCCACCATGCGTCCCTGTGGTCCTGAATTCTCTGCTCACCGAGAAGCCTCCAATTAAAAGAAAAAGAAAGAAGGAAGGAAAGAAGAAAGAAAAAAAGTTTTTAAACAAGCAAGTAAATGCTCTCTGAGCACCGCAGCTAATTAACGCACAGAGAGCCTGTCGTCTCCCAGTAGCGTACTCACAGGGCGCGCCCCCAGCCGTGCCCAGACGGCACACCGGGCAGGGGTCCCGGGAACCCTCCTTCAGTCAGTAGATCGCAGAGCCCACAACAAAGGCAAGTGCAGGGCCCTTCGGCTGGGTGCTCTTCGCTTCCTGTTTATTCCACCGTGAGGGTCAAAGAGAAATTCAACACACGCCTGCTTCCTCCCGGCCCCGGAGACCCAGCCTAAGTGTAACAGCAGCCGCCCCAGACAATCGACTTTGCCAGCCAATGCCAGGAGCCCCGGGCAGCCCGCGGCCGACGTCAAAGCGCGGGGGAGGGGGGACGGGGAGGGGGGAACCCGGGGAGACGGTCTGAGGTCTGGGAAGCCTGGAGCCTGAGCGCCGGGGCGCAAGGTGCAGGGGGAGCCTGCGGGGCCGCTCCCGCTCCGCCTTCTCACTGCTGACTTCCAGCACCCCAAGACTGCCGTAGCTCGCACGCAGGCCTACGAGTGTCGCCGCTTGGGACAGGCACCCTTGCGCCCACTCGGGTGCTGCAGGATGAAGCAGCTACAGCGGGACACTCTAGAGCACCGGGTCCCGGTCGGTGGGCAAGACTCCAGCCAGCCGAGCGCTCGGAGGATGGGCAGGCGCCTGGGCAGCCCTCCGCGCCCACCTGCAACACAACCTCACAGACCTGGTGCACGGGTCTGGGGAACGCGGGGACTGGGAGAGCACTGGCCGCCAGCGCAGTCTGGCGGGCATCCCGGCCCGTTCCCCGCCCCCCTCCCCCGCCCGCCCCAGCTCAGAGGTGAACTCCGGCCAGACGCGGAGACCGCGGCGGGCGGCACTCACCTGCCGCAGCCCCTGGATAGGCGAGCAGGACCGCCCACCGCGCAGTTCGGCCACCGGCCCTGCGGGCTGCGGGGGAGGGGCAGCGCTCTGGGTGGCGCGACACACGGCGCGGCGTAGCTCTTTAAGAGGGACCTGCCACCCGGCTCTCGGAGCTCCCCGCCCCCCTTTCGCCTTCTTCAGGACTTGCAGCCTGTCTGGCGGCCGCCGCAGCTCCTCCCCGGCTCGCTGGGGATCCCCGCCGGCTGACGGGAGGGGTGGGGGGAGAGCGCCGGTGCTGTCGGGCTGGGGCCGGCGTCCTGCCACCGCGCCGAGGCCGGGTCTGTCTCAACTCAGCCTCGGCCGCTCCTCCCCCGGCTCTGCGGCGAGGACCCGGCGTGCGGCCAGACGGCGGGGGCGGGGGGCGCCGCCGGGGATGCGGCCCCGCCCAGGTGCACACACACACACACACCCCAACCCCTAGGCTGCGGGTCCCGGGCTCGCGAAAGGAGACAGGGGAGATCGCTGCACACCCGGGACCCTGAGCCCTGTAAAGAGCCTAGAGCTGGGGCGCTAGACGAGCACTCGCTGCGCGTGGGTAGGCCACCGGAGGTTTGAGGAGTGGGTGGGCATCTACTGCCTCCCCGGGTTGTGAATGCCCACCCACAGCAGAACTTGATCTTCTGCTCTCAGGCACACAGTAGGACCACAGGACAGTGAGTGGGAAGGGCTAAACGTCTAGGGAGACCCCTCCTCCAGGCTGGAGAGAGTCCTCTGGACTCCCCTGGTGTCATGCCCTCTTCTAGGGAAATTGGTCTGGACTGGACAGTGGAGTGGATCCCTTCTCCGGGAGCTATGACCCTTTGCCCTTGAAGAAAGATCTCCAAATCCTACGAAAGTCCTGGACAGGACCTCCACTGAAGGCAAACAATAAATAGGTCATCAGTTCTCCGGAAGTACGGGCACAGACCCTGGTCTACCCAGCCATGTTTGATGGAGATTGATTGCTGCCACTGCCAATTTTATTGCAGTCAACACAATTAGAGAGTTGAGTTCCTCTCTGCCGAAATGATCCTCCCTGCAGACCGTCAAGATACACGAACCCAAGTTTCAGATCTGGTTTAACAGAGATGGAAATTGTTAAAGGGGGTAACAGTTTTCAACACCATGCCCCGCCCCATTCTCAACTCCTACTTTTATGATACCAGAGAGATGAATATTTTGAAACCTGCAGTTAATTTACCAGTAACTTTTCCGCTAGTGGAATGTTATCTTCATTCAGTTTTTCTTAAGTCTTCAGTTCTACTCAGCCGTCCTAGCGACCCATGTTTGTATGTGAATTGCCACAATGGAGAAGCATGTGGTAAGCGTTTCTCACAGATTGCTTTTCCTTAATCTTCACAATAACAATGAGCCATTCTCCACTTTACAGATGATGAGGTTGAGGCCGTGAAACATTTGGGGATGTGCCCCTATCCACGAACATAAAGGTTTAGCGTTGCTAAATGGCCCCACCAACACCAAGTGTTGAATCCGCATACTCTACTGCCACCTACCTGCGGCAGCTTTAACATCCAGTTCTGTTGAGCTAATCCTAGGAACACCTAAGGAAGCTTGCTCTGCCAGGCACAGTTCTGGCTCCCAGCTGTGAGATGCTCTGGTCCCAGATAGAAGAGGAGCAGTGTAAAGGGGGACGGGGCGGGGCTTGGAACCCTGTTGAACGGACAAAAGGCAAACCAGGTTTCTCTCCTTGCCCCCCACCAAACCAACTTCACAGTTCTTCATCCCACCAGCCCAGCCCCTAATCTAGTTCACAACTTTTACGAAGGTTCTGCTTTTCTGATGACAGGATAAACGTCGCTGTGTATCTATCTCCTGTCTTAGCTGAAGACTGGAGAGAGCCTGCCTCTCTAAGTATAGTTCTTTTTAAGGGAACGTGTCCCGTTTTAAAAAAAAAAAATGGTATGCATAGCAGGCAGTTCTTCTTCCAGGGTGGTTCAAGAGAAGTGAATACAGAGATCCAAGAAAAGACAAGAGTAGGGAACTTTTTAACAATCGATTTGTTAAAATGCAAAAGGGAACCTGAAAACAAGCCGCTGTCCTAAGTGCATGAAGGATTCGAGGGTTTAGGCACATTCATATTAATCAAGGATTAAGTGCAGCTTAATCCAGAGCCGCTGATAGACACAACAGGGATAAATGTCCCAAATATTTACTTGACTCACAGAAGACAGGCCAAAAACATAATGTTTGTGACTTGATTTTATTTAGATGATGTTCCAAAGTGTAAGAAGATAATAGTTGGTGATAGGAGTTAAAACACTGGGGGCTGGGGAGATGGCTCAGTGGTTAAGAGCACTCACTGCCCTTCCTGAGGACCTGGGTTCACTTCCCAGCACCCACCCGGTGGCTCACAACAGCCTGGACTTCTGTTGACAGGGAAGATCCAACGCCCTCTTCTGGCCTCCTTGGGGCACTGCATGTACCTGGTTAGCAAACATACAAGCAGGCGCATACACATACAGATACATTTTTTAAAATTAAATATTTTTTTAAAAAGTAAGAAAATTGCATGGTAAGTGGTAAATGATAAAAGGGGGTGGTCTGTATTTTGATCTCAGTGTGGACACAAGAGCATATGCATATCTAAAACTCCAACAGTTGTATACTTAAAAATCGGAGGGGGGGTGTACTCTGTGTGTGATGCAATACATTTTTAATTGTGGGAAGGAGAATTAATTAATTGGCTATAGGAAGACTTGATAAGATGAGGTCACTGCAGTGGGTGCAACTCTCTCAGATGGAAAAATGGCAGAGAGAACTATGCATGCCGCTACGGTTGGGACATGAAATATCCCTGAAGGTTCATTTGTTAAAAGCTTGGTCCTTAGCTCAAGACACTAACGGGAAACAGTAAAACTTTTAAGTGGTGGGGCCTGGAGGAAGAAGTTAGAGCACTGGAGGCATGCCCTTGAAGGGATATTGGCCTCTTCCTATCACTCTCTGCCAATGGTTTTCAGCCTAGGAGTCAAGATCCTTCCGAGGGTCACATACCAGATATCCTGCATATCCGACATTTATATTATAATTCATAACAGGAGCAAAATTACAGTTACGAAGTAGCAATGAAATAATTTTATGGTTGGGGGTTTCACCACAACAGGAGGAGCTGTATGGAAGGGTCACAGAGTTAGGAAGGTTGGGAGCCACTGCTCTTCACTTCCTGTCCATGTCTACCATGTGATAGACTGCACCAGCGAGGCACAAAGCCACAGGACCTGAATCTCTGAACCCTGGAGGTAAAAATAACCTCGTTTGCAACTGATTTTCTCAACTTTGTCATCAAAGAAATGGAAAGCTACCACAAGCACCCTACTGTACCCCCATCTAGCTGGCACCTTGGGCCTCTTGCCATAAAGAAGATATTGACTCATTTGTATGCTGTGAATGAACAGGTGCTGCCAACAGGTGAAGCTCATATGCCAATAAGATGACTCCCTCACGGCATTAAAGTCTCCTCCCCATGACCATGCCAACACCATGTGACCAAACCTGTCCCTTGAGGTTCCCTTGGAAGCTTCAGTGGATTTTCCTTGTAACTGGTCCCAATTAAAAAGATGGAGATGTGTTCGTCTAAGGTCTATACCACAGACTCCATCCTCAGGATTTCCCTGGTCTGCTTCATGACACAAAACTCAAGAACCAGGTGTTTAATTTTGAATTATAAGTTGGCCATCAGTTAATATGTCAGTTAGGATAAATATGTGAGGTAGAAAGTAAAACGTGCCTTCCATAAGCAAATATATCAGTGTTACTCATATGTGTTTATAGGCTGAGCATCACCGTTTACTAAAGCAACTATAGCAAAATCCCAAAGGTTGCATAGCTTATAAACTGAAAAAAAATTATTTCTTATAGTTCTGGAGGCTTGGAGGTTCAAGATCAAGGCACTAGCAGATTTGATGTCTACTGATGGCCTGTTCATCATAGATGGCACTTTCTTTGTCTTCACAAAATAGAGAAGGCTAGAAGAAATTGACTCCCTCCCTCCAGCCTTCTGTAAGGACAGTAATGCTATTCATGAGAACAAAGTCCTCATGTCCTGACAGATTCTGCAATGGCTCTCCCTCTTAACACTGACACAGTGGGAATTAAGATTCCATGTAAATTCAGAGACACATACTCCCAAACCAGAACACTGACTTATGTTTGTATTATCATAGCTTTTACTAGAATTATGCCTACAACAGTCCATCAGATAGATAGATAGATAGATAGATAGATAGATAGATAGATAGATAGA